AAAATATTGACTTCGGTCTTTGTAAAGCATCCGTGAACGTTTGAAGTTATAAATAGAATTTTTATATTTCATGTTTTAAACCGTTAAAGTGTATTGTTTAAATGTGTACTACTCGCGTAAACTACAGACAGTGTTTAATTTAATTTAACTGCTTGTAAAGCATAAACAATAGAGTGAAGTTATAGATTATAATCGGCGAATTGAATAACTTTACACGGGCGATTAACAACGCTTAAAAGCGTCGATAAAACGAGTAAAGACCAACAAATCCAACGCTAAATTGAAAGGAAGACCCCTCAATTACATATGCATACACGTTCAGAGGGAAACGCAACGCTCGCTACCTCGTCGGCCGAAATAATTCGACTCAAACTGGTTTAACGGAAGCGTAACGAGTCAGTAGAAGTTTGCTTCGGTTATTACAGAATTCCACTTTTCAAAATCGCACCTTCTTGGACAGACAGAGAAATTCTATACAAATATTACCATACACTTCTCCCTTTTATAGAGGACAGATAAACAGGATTCTCTTGATGGACAATGATATACTCCAGCCCTCATCATCATTACATCTTAACAAAATTCATTATCGATCTATTTTGCTTTTGGATTTCTGAAAAGACCATACCACAACCACAACTTTACGCACGCAGTTTTTATTAGATATCAAATATTTCCAAATTTATTTAATATCCAGATGTTTTAGACTAATATGTAATATTTCGTTAATATAATTACACGGTTGGATCAAGTCTAGAAGTGGATGTTTATTAGTCATACATTGCTACCTGGGCCAATAAGACCATCAAAGCGCAGTACTCCCTTTAACTTGACCAAGTGTAAACACTCAACAAAACATATTTTCCTAAATACATTAGGTATAAGAAAAACAGTTTTAAAGTAGTACTACCTATTTTGGATATATAAAGCATAATAATAGTTCAATAATGATTATAACAGTCTGGTTTTCTAAGTAACTTTAATTTATGTATATGTTTAACTAAAACAAGGCAACAAAATATTTAAATGTATCGAGTTATATTTGAATCCGAGACCTCTTACGCTTAACACAAAGGCAACGCATTTACCATTGCGCTAAGGAGTTATATGCAGGCTTCAAATAAAAAAAGCCTTTGTCGAATTACCTTTGGGTTTACCTTTGTATGAAGCTCAGAATTCTTGTGGTTTTGATTAAAAAATCTGGAACAAAGAATTTTAAGGCATAATGTTTACTGTTTGGGGCATTACGAACATTCTATGCCATAACCGAGGGCATAAAGCAAGGTTACCTTCAGATTCTATGATGCGCATTAACTTTACCTTAAGCTTCGGCGTTCAACAAAGGCTGCGAATAAAAATTCTTATCACAGTTTCTGAATGAGGACATTTAGCCGCGTTTTTGCTAAACAATTTTAACCTTTATTGCTGCCGAGATAACGTCGCAGTCGGTGTAAACTCGGCTTAGTGTAAGCTCGATCATAATCTTTAGTATGTAATAACTGTATATATTTTTTGTTATATTTTATCGTATAATAAGAAAATGCAGTGAATTCTTAGGGTTAAACGAAAATTCCAAGTCAAGTGAAATGAAGATTAAAGTTCATATTGTTTTCTTATGCCCCAGACATATATTTAATTGGGTCGAGCTTTGGAATCCACGTTAAACTAACGTAAATTTCATGATTTTTGAATGAAGCGAGTAGTTAGTATTTTAATATTCAGATTTCCAAACGAAGTTCAACGCTTTTCCGAAAAATATATATATTTATTCGAAAATCATAGGACCTAGTGGAGAGTAAACCCACGATGCGATGTTTATTAGGTATACAATACCATCATAAGTACACAAGGCCCATACAACATTTTTGTCATTATATACTATATAGTTTTAAAGTACATACCTCCGGTCAAGCTGGCTGTCTTTTGGATTGCGTGTTATGTTAATTGTGAATACCTTACGTCACCTTGTGTTACACTGAAAATTATAATTGTCCTTTCAAAAGTGTTTAAATTGATGATTTTTAAACTAAAAAACAGGCGTAGTTTTAAGTGTCATTAGGGCAGAGCACAAAATTCGAATTAACTTGCTTGCAAATAAAACCAATCACTAAAACGGACACTCAACTATGCTCCTTACTGCTCCACGGGATAACACGGGACGTCAATAAAACTTGGAAAGAAGTATCTAATAAGCTTTATTCTCAATAAATTACATATCAGCTTAACATTTTACCGATATGTCAAAAGTCATTGACGATATTTGAAACAATTAATTACGTAAAGTAGAACCAAGAATACATGTTAAATACATAATAGTACGTACAAGACAAGATTTGTCATCTAAAAATGATATAATTGCAAAAAATTGTCTAAATATAATTATAATTTATGTAAATATTTTTATATTCTGTAATTACCACGTAGATATTTTTTGTCGAACAATTAATTATTTACAGTGTGAATCGAAACCTGGAATTATTATATCTATATATACTCAAATGTATTACATAATAACGATATTTTGTATACCTACCTATGTACACATAATAGATTATATTTAATTTTACAAAAATTAGCATCACAGTGAATTTATTAATATTTATAATACAATTCTTTACATTTTTATTGAATATTCTTACAAATAATGTTGTTTATAGTAACTAATATACGTTGTCAAATAAATGTTATAGACACTTCTTTAACGAAAAATCATAACTAGTTAACATAGTCAGACTTAATTGGCTTTAAGAATTAAGTACAATCAAATTAATTTTTATATTTAAATAAGTTCGTGATAACGCCACCGTCAAGAAAATTGTAAGTGAAGCACAGAAGTTAGAAATATTATTTTTACATTTATATATTTATTCATATTTAAATAAATAGACCCGTAATGGATTTGAACCCATCAAAGTTTTGATTTTTGATTTCTGGGTCATTCGTTGCGTAAACTATATTCCTTATGTAAACAAACTGTTGTAAATTAGAGTTCACAATGATTCGAATTAACTAACAGCTGACAAGTTGCAACGGCCTAACATTATGAACTGTACACTATACCCAAACCTACCTTTATTAGGACTATCTAATTAATTAACAAAAATTGAAACAGTCTTTCATAGAAAATTCGATGTTAAACATAATACATAGTATACAAATAAATAATTACAGTTCAATTCAAACTACTACACATTTTTCATATAATATATCATAACGCTTTTAAATACTCATAGAACCATTTAAAATGATAATATTTTTATCGTTATATCTTTTAGCGTAGAAATATGTTTTAAACGCTACCTAGTATCCATTCAGCCTTGACCTAATTTTTGCATTTTTCCACCACGTTTCTCGTTAGTGCAAACAGTTTTTTCGTTAAGAATAAATTGTTAAAACTATAATAGATTCGCCGAATCTATATACATATACATCAATTTGTTTATGAAAAGGAATTTATAATGAAACAAGTACTAACTTTACCAGTTTCATGAAACTGAAATTTCAGGATTCGTCAATTAATCTGCGCGTGCAGTAGTCAGTGGATGTGGAATTCTAAATGAATGAAACAAAATAAAGAAAAAAAAGGAACGATGCTAAAAGAGAATGGTGTAAGGTAAACTTGATTTATAACTTTTTTGGTATTTAAGTCCAAGTTTGATTTTGATTTATTTTTAGTACACAAATTCTGATGCAAATGTTCTTTTGTAGCTTGCTTATATTTTGGTCACAGAACCTTCTTTCTGAAAATTTCTAAAATTGACAGACAGCGCCTTGGGTACTTTGTCCACAAATATTGTAATCTTACTCTTCCATTACCACACATCAATTGAATCTACCGCAGGTGTCTCAATAAAAATATTTTATTGCAACAACTGTTGTCACGTCTGTCTCTTCCTAAGCTAGGCTCGGCGCGTCAATGCGAGTTTCCTATGTTTTATTCACGATTCGTGCCTCGCTTGACGCCCGACATGAAGCACTGTGCACTTGACGTATTTTTTAAATAAATTTTTCAACGTGGCTAACGTTTCAAAGCGAAAATATAACAAGATAATACTCGAGAATCATTGCTTAATATTGATTTTGATACATGTGAATAGTACAATTAAAAAAGATCCGATTCTTTACATTTTCCGCCACCCCACCCCCCCCCCCACCTTCCCATGAAAACCCCCCTTTTTCCTGCTATGCGTTTTAACAACCCCCCGGGGGGGGGGACCCCCCTTTTTCCCTGTTGGTTGGGTGAAAAAACCAACCCCCCCCCCCCCGAAATTTATATTTATTCCCCCCCCCCCCCACTGCCCTTTTCTTTTAAAATTTTTTTTTTTTTTAAAAAAAAAAAAAAAAAAAAAAAAAATTTTATTTTATATCATGCTGGTTCCTCGTCATGTTCCATTTAAACCTAATGACAATTAAAAGATGATATACATAGAGTAGTATGTAACAATTATAAATAAGTTCTTTCATATTAAAGCTGCACAATTGTACGCTATAGGTTTGTATAGCAGAGAAAATGCACAATGGTTTCATAAATGAAAGACTTAGCTTCTTTGATCTTTGAGCAACAGTTGCACAAAACGCGCAACTAAGTTTTTTATTTTTAGAACTTCTTAGCAAGTTTTGTGATAAAAACGGAATATATTTTGAATTGAATACAGTTGTATTATTTCAAAGTTAACTTTCTGAATCATTATTTAAAAAAAAAAGTTTTTGAAAAGTTTGATTTCATTTCGCGTTAAAAAAAAAACAAAAAGTTTTACTTCATATTTGCAGCATGGCCTAGCCAGAAAAGGAAGTACACTTAACTAAAAATTAATAAATAAAAAAAACTACGAAGTCTTCAACTTATATACTTAAAATTTATTTATAGACCTGTATATTTTACAACTTTATCGATACCTACTTATCTGAGAATCTTTATAAACATGACTTAATATGCCAAACGAGTTTTTCCCAAAATGAAACGGACACACAACAGAAAGCTATACAATAAGATTATCTAATTATACACAACTTTCTCTGGCGTTCGCAAGAAGTGGCGTTCTCGTGGTGACAACTTCTCTTCGTCGAGACAGAGTTCCACTAGTCACACTTCGTCGGTCCTCAGCTAACGTACCGATGCTCTACAAAAGAAAATGTACACGAATCAGTATTATCCCCCGTTTATCCCCTTGTTGCGCTAGAGGAGGCTTTTATAAAAAGTGTAGAAATTTCACGCTGCGAATAGATGCGCTGTTCATTTCATATGTTGATCATCAACTGTATCAAAGGAACTCTGCTTTTATTTTCTAGATTTACTTTGTAATTAATAAATATTATACTTTTTATGATGGAGACCGATGAATAGAGGAGGTCAGACAAGTATATGGGGTCCACTTGGTGGAAGGTGAGACACCCGAGCCTTATACCTTAACAAAATGCGCCGTCGACCTATAGTGGGTTTGGATATTCGAAAATCCACATATTGAAACTAAAACGAACTAGAACTAGAAATGTTTGTATTTAAAATAGACTAGAGTATTTTAAACCAACTATAATTGTAAATTCGTATTCGCATATATGTTATGTTGTATATTATGTAATTTACAACATTGTGTTAACGCTTATGTGAAAATGTACTTCTTGCGTCTTATACAAGTACAAGCAAATAGTAACCGCGATTAAGCTTTACGGTTTGTGACCCGGACGATATTTTTGATAACCCTACGTGATTTAATATCAAGATCTACAGGACGGGAAATGCTTTCTAATATGCTTCAGCAAAATTAATGATTTTATTACAAAACGTGTCAGACCGTGGGGATCGAATCCAGACCCGTTGCTATTAACTTACTGCTATTAAGAGACCAACGTGTCTATACAATTTTTGTTAAATAGTATTTGTTTCAAATTATATTAATTGACGGAGGTTACACATGAAAACAAACCGTTACTTATATAAAACATTTTAATAGGTATATATATTGCATCAAACGTGTTAAATATATTTGTTTCAAGCGTAACACTTTAGTAACAGTGACAATAACAGATATATAATAGTGAAGTTCAAGAGATCTGGAGTTTGATTCCTTGAGAAAAAGTGTTTCGGTCAGGCTGGGCACAGAAGTCTGATCAATTCGTTGCCTGTACAAAATCGAGTGAAACAGACACAAGTCATAAACTTCGTCCCATGCCCTACAAGGCAAAACGGGATTTCACTACTCAGTATAACGTTTTATTATGTTTCTTGATATTGATATATCTACTTACTTGAGCATCAGACGCTGGTGTATTAGGAGTGTGAGGCGTATTCGACCTCGTATCGTGTAAACTGTGAACACTGCGACTTGACCCGACAGGTGGCGACACCACAGCCGCGTAAGGAGGTGGCTCTGGTGGTCGTTCACAGTCCCGGGTGCAATTGAAATCTGTTCAAGTAAGATTTTATTAAAATGAGAAACAGAAAACAATAATGAAGTATCGTTAGTGAACTTTATATCTGCATAAATAATCTCAAAACTCATTGTCTGAAAGCTAGTAAGCGCGTATAAGAGCGTAGTAAACGAATAGTCGTTTAAAGTTTTTCCAACGCGTGCGTTTGCTTGCTGAACCGAAAACTCCATAATATCCAACAAGAAAACAAAACAATTCGCTGTCGACCTATGTGTTCGCAATTGTCAATAAAAGTATCAGAGTTCAAAGCGTTCCCATTTCAATAGAGTAACAAATACCTTTTCCGAGTGGAACTACGTCCGGGTTCTTGTCGTCTCCTATGGGTGAGTGGTTCGCACTTTGCATCGAGGCTTTGTATGCCTTCACCGTTTGCACCGGCGCTAAAAATAAATATTCAATATAAATGCCGTTTCATATCGTTTACGCTAACTTTGTATGCAAATATATTCATTGTACGAGAGAATTTATTGTTTCCCAATACAGATGTAATGCAAAATAAACATCAATCAAATAAAGTCGCCTATTGTAATATTTTTAACATACGAGGTTTCTGTTTAGTTTGAAAAATGTACGACACTAGCGGGACTTGAATCGGCATCTACAGCGATCCATGCTGCTGCTCTAACCAATTGAGATGCCGTGTTTCAATCTGCAATGTCCCGAGCAATATGATTTGGATATTAACATTCACATGTTGAGATTCAATGTCTTATGCTTTGTAACTTAAGAAATCATAGAAGATAAGTGCAGAGCTTATAGTTAAAATACTTTATTATGTTTACATGTTTTTGCACTTCATCGCATTATATAAAATACGTATGACGATGTCTAATGGGACACGGTAGCTCCAATGATTAAAGCAGAATCACAGAACGCTGTGAAGGCCGGTTCAAGACCCGCCCGTGTAGTATGATTATTTCAATCTAAATAAATTTTAATGTATATAATGTGTGAAAAAATAATGAAGACTTCAAATATGGACTGTTCAGAGATTGGGCGACATTTAATCGAGCTGTCCGAAAATCTCGTAATTAAGAATTACGTTCGAGGCTAGAGCAATACTCTAACAGTGGTAGCTCGGTAGCTTAATAATTTTCAATCTAAAAAGTGCCATTATGTGCAATAACATGTAACAAATATTAAATTTTTCAAAGTGAGAGTTAATGCTGAAAAGAGATTATTATATCCCACTTCGCTTACGTTCATAAAATGTAGTATTTAGTTTTAATACTCTCTTAATTACAGATCTAAAAGTCTTATCTGTTACCAATAATTACTTTTAACAAGTATTGAAGCCTTTTGTGAATCAATCTTCTGAAGTCCCATAGATACAATCATACCTCATTCAGACTTTATTGAATTCAAAATAATATCATTTAACCACTACTAAGTTAGTACTTAGTAGTGGTTAAATGATTTGACATTTATAAATAAAATGATAAATGGACGGAATATTAAATGCTTAAAATGAAAATCGATTAGATATTTTATTAGAATTTGTTAAGCACAAAGTCTTTAATAGAGAAACTAAACCAAGGCAATGTGTTTTTATTTTAATTATAAAGTTTATGAGAAAGCTTAGTAGTAGGTTAGTATACTGTGACTATAGCTGTTGTAAAGCATCTGAAATATTGGGTTCGTATTCAAAGATAAATTAAGCCGTTAAAAGTGTATTACTTAAACAAAAAATCATTTGTCGTGAAATAATATATCATCAATACAACGACACTTTTAAACCTCGTGCGGTTCAGCTTTGAAGATATAGGATATATTTGCAAAGTATAACACTTTGTGAATAATATACTGTTGTGACTTGAACGTTGACGTCTCATCGAAGCCTCGAGACGGTCGGGTGTCACGCCATTCCACACTTAGGCGTCAAAATATACCTGGCACTAGGTCGCGCTTTCTATCAAGAAATTGTTACCTTTATATAATTTATATCGATGGAAGATCTATAAATTCTTAAACACGAGTCGTGATAGCGAAGAATTTCCATTCAAATCTGCATATAAGAATATTTCTAGCTTCCTTTGACGTACTTCAGAAATCTTTAAAGTTATAAACCTTCGTACATTCCAGCTTCGAACGTACGGTACATTTAAATTTTCCATCGAGTGCAACGCATTTACAATTGACAAAACAAACAATATCTTAACACGTCGCGCCCCTATCAAATTTAGTTCGCAAACGAAATAAAATAGGAAGCACTCGACTATACAACGAAATTGAAACAGAATTTTCCATTTTGCTGAATATGCCCGCAGGATGTGCCACTGACTTCGCGTTTCTCAGTGTTAGGAATTTATAACGGGATTTAATACTATGTGGATTTAAAACACTGCGTTCCCCGCTATCGGAAACTTAATACAAATGTCGCGGGTGACTGACGAAATATGAAATTTTAAGGCGCATAAATCACATGGGAAATGCAGAGAAATGTACAGCATTGCAAAATTCTAGACGCCTGGGATCTTTTCATTCTTCGCGTGCAGCGACGTAGATATTTCGGCTCACCATCTTGTTGTGACGTCTCACAAAGGAATTTAAAACATATTTTTCCTTAATTCGTCGCTTGCTTTATTTGGGACATGCCACGACTATGGGATTCGTATTTATACACACCCCAAGGTCTATAATAATAATAACCATTGTGAACTACTCGCGTAAACTATAGACAGTAAAGAATTACCATTCTCATTAGGTACATACGGTCATTCTAGGTTTCCTAGGCTTTTAATGATAAATATTGTACAAAATAATTTTATATTCCAACAAAGGCGTAGAGTATCGAGTTTTAATTTTAGAACCTCCATAAACAGATTGGTTCGTATTTTATTAACGATCGGCTTTAGAACTTATCCACAATCCGATAAGACTCAAATTTTAATCCTCGCCCAGCTCAGAAGCTTGGCTACAATATTAATTACTTACATTATCACACATTTCATCTGACATTAATATTTTAATATAATTGGCATTACAGTAATTGTAATTTTCAATGGAAGACTTACTAGAAGTTTATATTTGAGACATATAATAAATATATAGAAAAAGATTTAAACATAATAAAGATGAATTTAATTCATACTATCTAGAGATATTTAGTTTAATCTGTGAATATCGCAGCCAACTAGATTCAATAGAAATGTTTTAAACAGTTCTCTCGTGTTCGAATAATTTTTACTATTCAGACCAATTTGAAGGCGATTCTTCTTTGTTAAATACTCACTTTTAAAATATTAGCTACACTTTAAATAAGTGTAATACTGCATGCGTTTTTAAATTACAATTTTAATTTTGATCTATTAAGATTCTATCATTGCTTCGCATATAGCATATAAGGCATTGTATAAATTAAAAACTTGACAAAACGTGCGGGACATAAACCGACATCCATGGCGGTCCGTGCTGATGCTCTAACCAATTGAGCTACCGTATCTAGGTCTGAGAATTGATCATGTCAAATGTTGCCAAAATAATGTACAACAAATAGATATTACACTCCATTACCTAAGCAAACCATTAACAGTAATTACTTGTTGATGACAATGCAATACACTCAACACTAATTCAAATACTGCAATTAACTAATTAAGGAGACGTCGTTTATATGAAAATTCTCGCTGAAGGTGATAATAATCATGTCATAAAAATTCAAACTTGAGCCATTAGCAAGTTGTTATGTTTTTGAACACGCGATGTGAAACTGTTTGTTGGTTTTATTAAGAAAATTATTTTTAAAGGAACTTAAGATCCTTAAGATGTAATAGAACAGACTTATTATGCTTAGAAATTTTTCTAAAAATGTTCTTCAAATTTCATAGTATATTCTTAAAGTCATACAAGCATTTTAAACATCATTCATTTAAAGAAATACATTGAGAAAACAATTCTTTTTTTTCCTTTTTTTATGGCTGAGGAGTATAAACAAACATAGGGTCCAGTTGATGGAAAGTGAATATATTTAAACAAGATGTATCGTCGACAAATTTTGATTTTCACATTAAAAGTTTACAGAAACTGTAATGCAGATTTAAACTTCTCGACTTTTCCATATGTGAGCGGTTGTTCGTAACCCGGACGAAATGTCGGTAGCGAAAGCTAGCGAATATCTAAAACAGCAAAAATAGGCCGATAGCGCAACTTGGGGTGTTTTATACCGCTAGAGAAAGTGAACCCCATGTTTATTCTCCTCTATCATATTAAAAAATGTTCATTATACACCTTGCCTCGTTCATACCTTCATATTGTAGAGGTCTATGTCTCTTCCTGGCTAGCAGAGCTACAGCAGCAAGAACAGCTAGAGTGCCAATGATTCCTGCGATGATGCCCAGGGCCCAACTCGTATCGACGCCACTGTGATTGCTCTTAGCCTCTGAAACAAAACATAATCACGATATACGGAGAATGGGCAACTCATTACCCTTTTAGTTGAAAAATATTTCAACCACGGCCCGAGGTTTCGGATGCTTAACAGCACCTCTCAAGGAGAGTTTCCATGACTAGTAGTTAAAATAATTTTCATACAGGTTTAACTAATATATATCGAGTTTTAAACCGTTAAAGGTTTTATTTAAATGTATACTACTCGCGGATACGACAGACTCTATTTTATGAAAAACGTTTTTCTTACGAGTATGTTAAGTATTTTGTTGTTGTAGACTATTCTCTTCGTTCATTGTTCACTTGCAGTTTTCATAGTTTTGTTAACCATGCAAGTTATAAATAAATAAAAAGATTATGTTGAAGCAATTTTTAATTTTTAGTAATATTCAACATTAATAATTAAACTACTTCTCGGTTGCCTAAGTAACACTATGTTATTATAGATTTAAGAGTATGTTGGGTGTCCTATAAATACACAGAAATTTAATAAACCAAGTCGTTATCTGCACTAACATAAATAACTGAAGTTAGTGAAATTCCTCATAAAATTAATCATGAGCTAATAAAGACTTAGAAATTAATAATGCAAATATTTCCTCCTTCCATTGAGTTCTTTGCCTTGCATAGAATATTTATGAGTACATTCTTAATTCATTTTTATGATTTTTCTTGGAAAATAAACATTACACTTCTAAGGTATGAGTATTGTAATTTAAATTTTTCATATACATGTTAAAACGTGTGATTCTTGTGTCTGCTGTACGGATTTATTTACAAATAAATAATTTATCAGACTTCTGAGTCTTGCCAAAACGAAACAATTTATTGTTTCCCTAAAATTCGAACCATGGCCGCCTCTGTAGCCAAATGGTTAAACGTATTGCCTAGCATTACATTAAGCGCGAGAGGTCCTGGGTTCGAATAACAGGGAAACAAAAGAAAATCGAGCAGGCGCACTGACACATTGTACTTGCCTATTAAAACGGGCACAGAAATGTGTTCGTCCCATGCGCCATGAGTAGGATTTTACACCAGAATTTCAACCACCCCAAGTAATGTCTTACAATATGGAATCGGAAAATCTGTTTTTGACGCTCAACAATGCACTCACGAATGTTACAATAGGAGAAAATGTACTCACAAAATTATACAATTAAAATTTCGCCTACCTGTATGCAACGCGAGTCTGGATAACGTATGCACCCTTAACATGGTGATATCTGACCGTCCCCTCGCATTATGAGCATAAAAGATCAACTTCAACGCTTTTCCAGATCCGAGACCTTGGAGTTTCCACACTGGAGTAATTGTGGAGACGTTTGCGACCAGCTCTCCGGCTGCCCAAGCTTCCACAAAGTATGTCGTCTGCAAGCCGCCATCATAACCTTTGCAAGTCAAGAAGAAACACAAAATTAGCAACACGTTCCTTAGAGTTACTCAAATGAATAAGTGAATAACTTTATAACGTTAACAGAATCCAACATTGTAATGTGACTAACGCGAATAGAATATTTTTTTGTTACTATGTATATATTATGTTTTTATTTTAATAGTAAGTACTTCTTTCCTAGAATAAAAATTCATTAAAACCTGTAACCCTATATTTTAGGAAAGTCAACTTTTACACTTAATCAATTTTCTATTTGTTTCGTGGTTGGAATTACTTATCTGAATATTCTATTAATTTTTTATTATCCTTCACTGTAGGTGCACACACTTTTTAGCATGTGCTTGAACAGGTATCCACAGCGTTTTGTGCAATTGAGCTACCGAGTCCTATACATCATCGTTGAATTTTTTCACCCTATAGATACATGAACTTCTCGCACAACGTAATTTCAATCTTAACATTTGCGTATTGATTGGTTAGAGCACACAACAGTACGGTGCAGCGCTGTGGAAGCCGGTTTAAGCCCTGCCCGATTCGTTTTTTTTTTTTAAATTTATAATCGATTTTTAATAAAATTGGTTTCTATAGCAGTATTTCATAAAATGACTTTTCAAAGCTCATTTTATTTATAAAAAGCAACATACCGGCAGCACATCGCAGTTCAGCCGAATCATCTGTCAAGTTTCTTGCTGAACAATTAGTAGGTGGATCCGGTTTGACAGCGGGCAAAAGCGTGTACCTACACGCCTCAATCTGTTGCCCCGCCAAATTCGTGGCCCGACACGAGAGGGAACCGTAGTCCGTTTCAGATGTAGGGGTGTAAGTTAGAATCGACCGGCCAGCACCTACCGTGAATTTTCCCTAGAAGAGAGGTCTTAGTTACGTAATATAATATAAAATGAGATAAAGTACTTAAACATACACATTTAACATACAGGATTTAAAAACATTTGTGCTTAATCTAAATAACAAAGATTTTCGTTTAATTTTTTCCAAAATGGCCGAACACATGTCTATCAGTTTAACGCTGACGACTGCTGTCATGTACAACAATGGTCGCTACAACAGATGTTGTCCAAAACTGACGACGTTATTGGATAAAAAGAACATATAATACCCGAGAAAGTAGTTAAAAATAATTTTACAAACAAAAAAATTATTATACAAACGTGAAAGAGATAGGCTTAGCTAGCATTGAAACAAATTAAAGTCCAAAATGATTACAGGTTTTATATAATAATGAGGTATTATGACACTTTACAATAAATATTACAATAAATACAATATATTGTTTAAATGAAATGTGTCAAAAATGCAACTTCACTATTCGTCTTTACGTCGTCAGGTTATAGTGGTCTCAACTCTCAATTTTAACAATCATTCATCTCCTTTTCATTATCCTAACTAAACATACAATTGCTATAATATGTATATTCTTATCAATAAAACTGTAAAACCTCTGATAAAACAAAAACAGCCCCCTTTGTATCACCGTTTATAACTCTCTTTCCTCCTATTGTATCGTTAAAAAAATGCTTCAGCTTGAGAATTCCAATTAGAACTATAATTTCTTTGTAGGTGTCATTATTTTATAACAAGCCAGCTTCGTTAAATATTAAAGCTGATACAGAATAGAGTATTTCATTATTAAGCGATATTATTTCACAAAGCGAGCTTCTCTTTCAACAGATAAATTGCTACTTAATTTACTGAATAACTTTTTGTAGCATAGTGAATATTTTACAAGTTCAATTTGATTACTGGTCTCTGGGCGATTTCGCGGAAATTCGTGGAAAATTATTAACAGTATTCGTATATAGTTTTCCAATAAAACTGAATTACATATCAGCAATAAATAGTATTAGAAATTAAGAAGGTAGATCCGTAATATATGAAGCGAACGTACATAATGAAGTTTATGAAAAGTCGTGAGAAATCTACGTCAACTAGCTGTGTCAGTGACTTCACTTCTACGCGGTAGAATAGTTACTTTGGCCATCAAAATTTGTCATCAAAAAAGCTTCTCCTTTACTTTATAAAATACAGCTATTACCCACGACGTCAGTCGCGACCAGGCGTTTTTGCAATTTAATCATAAAACATAGACGTCTAGCGTAGACTTTTCTAATTTTAGTATATAATTATAATTTAAAGAGGAATAATTTTTGGTTTCCGGAAACCCTCAACAAGGGTTATTATTTATTTTCCCGTTTTTCCACATACCCCACTATTTCTTGGCTCCTATCGGTCGCATCGTAATGTTTCGTAACCTAAAGTTTTTCTCCGTAAATGCGCTTACTAACACAAAAATAATATTTCTATACAAACTATAATTCCTGAGATTAACGCGTTCACAAAAATAAACAAACTCTTCAGTTTTATATATTAGTATAGATTTCTCGCAGTATCATACTTACAGAATCCAATTCAACAGTCCCTAATGTGTTATTTAGAACCCATTGAAAATTCTTCGGTATGGGAAATGCATCCACTTCGCACGTCACTTTGGCCGCTTCGTTGATAGCAGATCCGACTATCGCAGTCATGGGATTCTTGCAAACTGGTTTATCTGCAAAGATTCACTCAAGCCTTACCAATACAAAGCATTTGTCAATTGATCTAGGATGACATAAGATATCTTAATTAAATCAATCCTCAATCAATTAAAGAAATATTTCATTTTCCACATTGCCCATGATGTCATTATATTACATACTAAATATCTATTTGAATTGTAAATTAATTTACGACACGGGCAGAACTTGAAGCGGCATCCCCAATGTTCCGTGCTTCTGCTCTAACCAACTGAGCTACCGGAAGCAGATTTTTAATTAATTTAATACTAGAACGGCAATAAATCCCAAATTATGTCCCACGCCCACGAAAAAAACACGAATTAAGGGCATCGTGAGCAAAGAATACTATCCGTAGTTTAGGCGAGTAGTACAATTTAAATAAAACACTTATACTTATATGCGTTTTCAACAGTTAGGATCTTAATCTATGCTAATATTATAAAGAGGAAAGATTTGTATTTTTGTATGTAACGGATAAACTCAAAAAGTACTGGACTGATTTTAATAATTTTCATTAGAATTCTACATTATCACTGAGTAACATAGGCCATATTTAGTACTTGATTACTATAGGCATCTATAGAAATTCTTACTAAAACCAATGGAAGGCGTTAAAAAATTGCCTAAAATGTCTTTCTTCGCATACGCTGCGAAAAGTATTAATGATAGGACAAAAAAATGTTAGACAATATTATAGAATATATTAATATCTACAAAAAACATCCCAAGAGCATATGTCTAACTATTGTAGTTACGTCGCTATAACTACTTTTATACATTTAACAAATTAATAGAAATGCCGATCAAAATCAGACCGTGTTATCCATACCATTTATAAATTTTTATCCAAATAAATAATTTAATATTCAAGACTGTCTCAATACCTGATGATTACTTTTTTAATTATTGAAATCAGACATTCCATTCAAAAGATATCATGAAATTAAAATAAAAATACATACCGGCCGCCACGCCGCGCATCAAGTAACTAATTCGACTATAGAGGAGCAGTGGGAACTTTACGCAGTGGGCGCGAACGACATTTAATATTTCGAGTTTTTTTTTACATTTTTATGCTTCACATTAAAAAGTTATTTTTAGAGTTACTTAGTTTTAGATATTAGGAATCACACTTTGCATAATGTTTGTCAAAGTTCTTTTTAGAACTATCGATTTGAACTTGAATATTTTCCTTTGTATTATTATTATTTTATATTCGCGAACGGGACTCTAATACTGAATGCTCGCAGGTTGTTAACAATTAGAACGCCATATTTTTTTCTAATTTAGTGATTCATGGTCGTTTTAATTTGCATGCTTATAATTTAAATATATGTATACCTATTTATGTCTACGCCCTGTGCGTTTTATAATTTTATAGAGAATAAAGTATATTTTATTTTATTTATTTATGTTGCAACAGCCGTGGTTACGGGGAGAATGCTGGGACTAGTTAAAATAATTTTCAAATAAGTTTAACTAATGTATATCGCGTTTTAAACCGTTTTATTTATTTATTAACTTTATTAATTACAAACACCACCCCACGAAATGGTTTACAACAATAAATTCACAAATTAAGGAATCCTATTTAAGAAATCCTAATTATTTCATCGTTTGTATTCTCAAAGGAAGTCAATAACACCAAGGAACGTTTCTTTCATTAAAGCTGAGCCGTCTGTGGTACGTTCTCATTGTATTCTCAAAGCACTTGACATTTCGTCCCTCACATGATCACGTCTCCACTTTGCTTAAAGCCTGGAGCGACGACTCAGAGATGCCGAAAACTTCACAGTTAATAATACCGGGTCTTTGTAAAACTGAAATTCAGCATCGCATTTCACCCTTACAAAGAAATTCAATATTCACTGTTGCTCGTTACATATTTTGTCGCTTCTACCAATGATATCATCATGTCTGACAGGCTCGTTAGTCGAATGTTAACAATGTATGGCTAACAACATGTTTCTAATCATTCCAATTTTGAAACATTAGACTTCATCTGGAAATTAAATCGCTGGTACGAATATCCATCATTTCGTCCCGGTCACGAACCACAGTCCACAGATGACAAAGCCAATAAGTATTATTGCGTTTCGGTTTTAGTCTATGGATTTCCAGATATCAAAATAGGCCGACGGCGCATCTTGTTTAGGTGTTAGGCTTGTCCTCCTCAATCACAAAAAATATGTAGACGTTAACGCTCGTTAAGTTATCCGAAATGGAATCTTGCAAAATTAAAAGAAAACAAGAGTTACATGAAAGCGGTTTTTCTGTTCGAATATTCCCGCCCCCATTGCAACAGAAATAAAACAACGTACCGCTGTTAAAGTTAAATTACCTACAGAAAAAAGTCCTTCCAAGTTTTTAGCTCTTCGGCATTGTTTCGGAGTTGTAGGATTCGATTCAATGAGCCATTCTATGTTTGTTCGAAGTTAGTTTCTCAGTGTTTATTGAGACTGTTTAAAAAATAATTCCAGCCCAGGGCGTCGGGAAATGTATTGTTTCGCTCCGTACTTGTAATTAGATTTTTTATGACTAAGCCAGACAAGTACGGAGTTCATTTGATAGAAGCTGAAATATCCTAGCAACATAACAGCTAAACCTGTCGACCTTTTTTCCAGATGAAAGTGTGAAATCCCGTTTCCCCCTCATGGGGCATGGGGCGCATACATTTCTGTGTCCGTTTTAATGATAGGTTTTATTTGCAGGCAAGTAGTCGATCAGACTTCTGTGCCCTACCCCACCGAAACAATTTCTTCTTTCCCTGGGATTCGAACCCAAAACCTCTCGCGCTTAACGCAATGCCAATACGTTTAACCATTCGGCTATAGAGGCGGTCCAGACGAAACTTAATATATATTTCAGAAAGATTACAAATTAATTTCTAGAAACACGTTGCCATTGACCCCGATGAATATTATTAGACATATATTGACCGTTGTACTACTCCGTAATTTAATAAGTTATATTATTTAACTATATAAGACATAACATCTAAATATATTCTGAATAAAAAAAAGGTAGCAAAATATATAATTAGTTTTGAGGGTAGCTGTCACCGGCAGTAACTTTTGCCAAACGCGTGAGTCGGACGTGTAAAAGTGATAATTACATGTGAAGTGATTATAACTGTCAATTGTGTCTTGTTTTTTGTTGTATTATTATAGTGCGCGCTTAATAAGTAATACTGTGTAAGTGTATATCTATAATGACTAGTGTACATGACCCGAGAAACATCCACTGCACCCGAGGTATTTACCTATAAACTTGTTAGCTATATTGAAAACTCATATAAGCGGTTCGCCGTGTTCTATCTTTGCGATATATTTGAGTTCATTGGGAGTTAAATTACTATGATTCACTACTCGTTAAAGCTAGAATTTAATTATCTTAATACTTCACATAATTACTACATAGTATCTTTGTGTATTGTAATACTATTCTTTAGGCTGTGATGCATTTTTGTGCAATACTAAATATTAAACTCGCGACAGGGCACAAAACTTTACCGTACTATTCAATTCAATTAATTCAGTTCAATTCAATCGATCAATTTCGTAAGACGGAGGTAGAGAAGACAATATAAATTGTCTTGTCTGTGTACGATAAACCAAGGAAATTGTATTTTACCACATAAAACATAGTACTTTTATATTCAGATTTAAAGCAATTCGTGCAAAGTTACTCCTTTATCATTTCAAAATATCAAATGATATAACGTTAAGATTAAAGTTTTCACTCCCGATCCTACCCGATATCATAACCCGTTTTTTGTTTAGTTGTAAATGTTGCATGAAATTATATTATACTATAAGATTAGTCTTATAGTGATAAATTAAGGAATCCAGGATCGAACTTCTTAATACATTTATAGCGATTACAAAAAACACTTAAATACTAACAGATAACTTGCAAATGAACGGCGTCTGACCGTCCATCGCCTTCCACGTTGGAGGCTATGCAGACGTACTTCCCCGCCTGTTCTCTCGATACTCCTTGCAGTGCGAGATGCGCTGAACCAGCTATTACTCCAGCGCGCTGGTTGTGCGTCATTACTTGACCCTGAATACAAATGAAAACATTTATATTTAGTTTATATAAAATAAAACACTTTAACGGTTTAAAAGACAAATTTCCAGCAGCCATGGTCACGGGCAGACTGTTGCAAAACATCCGAAACGTCGGACCATAGTTAAAATAATTTTCAAACAACTTTACCTAATATATATCGCGTTTTAAACCGTTAAAGTTCGACTCTAACAACTCGTGTAGATGTACTGCAAACCTTTATTAAAAAATAATTAAGCAACAAATGCACTAGTTGCCTATACGCTTGGGGGTGGGGGGGGTTTTGTTTTTTTTTTTTTTTTTTTTTTTTTTTTTTTAAAAAATGATGACCCCCCCTAAAACGATTGGCACTTATGAGTAAACATAAGCATAATATCTGTATTAAATTGAGAATCTACTTTTTTTAAGTCGATTAAAAATAATATTATGGAACTAATTAACTTAAACCTCAAATACATTAATTCAATTAAACCCTAGTATAGTATAACTTCAGAACTGTAGACTTAGCATCCTAGTTGTCAGTTCTCAGTAAACTACTAGACTACGTGAAGTACTAGATTTACAATTACAATCACTATAGTGTGAGTATAATACAAGTGAGATTTTAATGTTTTATTTAGAGCACAACTAACATACTTTTATTTTAGTTACAAATAGTCGATTGATACAAGTATTTTTAATATTAAGTTGAACTATTTAAATAAATATAAATTTGGTTACAATTCTTAGTAGTTTACGAACGGTAAATTTACAAACACAATATTCTGCCGTGCGCAAAGTGGAAACCTTGGTAACGATTAGTTGAAACATTTACTATGTATCATTGATTATTATTAATTTTAATTAGTCATACCCAGAAATGGAAATTCAATGATTTATATGTCATGATAAATGTTAACAAGCCTTTTTTTGTTAATACAATAAATATGTTCCAATTGCCGACCAACCAAAATTATAAACCAATTCAAAACTATAATCCTACATTAGACAAAGTATAATAACTAGATCATACTCGATATCGGATAATTCTAGTCAGTAGACATGGAGCTATTTTCTTAAAAGAGGCTCTATTTGGGAACGTAATAGAAAAACGAAGTACTTACATTATGTTCCCATACAACTTTATAAGCTGGCGGATTGGCATTCACGACGCAATCGAAGTAAACGTCGTCCCCTTCTTCTATGTCGTTAGGATTCATCTTCGATCCTAACTGCAGCGTAACTATTGGCATAACTGCAATAAAATTTATCTATTATTCTCCTTCAAGTCATTTCGCATATTGAGGTCATAATCTTACTGCAAACTAATAACATACTCAACTGATATTACCTAACGTCAAAGCTAGTCAATGTATTTTTTAGGTATTTAATTAGCTACGGATATTGATAATGTTTTTATTGCAGTTATAGTTTTAGTTTACGGTCAAATACAAGATTCCAATAGGTTCGTTTTAAGTGACAAATTATAATTGAAATTTGTAATTACTATTAAAATACAAACGGTTAAAAAAGTTACTTTATTACTACGTAGAGTTTTAATATTCTAAATGGATAGACTGATATTGATGTGCTCAATGTTTGAATATACTCCACTTTCTTTTTAAATTTTGTGTTTCTTTTAACCTTCTATAACACTGTAAGATAAATTAGAATACTATTATTATAAGAACGATGAATGGCTAACGTCGAAAGTGATTCTTTTACGATAGCGCAATTTTGATTTTACGTTAACGTAAGGAACGTCCTCCATCTTAAATTCTCTAATCACCATTAGAAGTGCAAAGCATTCGGGACGACGTGTCGTAGTTATAAATAATTTAACTACTAAATATCGCGTTTTAGACCGTTAAAATTATCTAATTTAAGCGTCTGCTACTCGCTTTAGCTACAGTCAGTACTTAGCAAATATTTTAACAAAAAAGGTCGTGTAAAACTTTTTGTTTACCGCAACCTTTTCCGGGTTTTAAAAGTTAAGGGAAGAAATCACCCTTAGTGCTGGGATAGATAAAAGGTTCTTATTGATCCACCCTCGTGACATCCCGTGAGAAATTTCGATATATAAATGTAGTTTTACGTCGCTCTTAAAACTACATGACACAAAGTCCCTCGGGACTGGAACGTCGCTGGGAAGCTTAAGATATTTCGTATCAATATAGATTATAATATTTCAGTGACTTCCAAATGACGTGGCAATTTCGCGTTTATGTTCTATTCAACTAAAATACTAAATATAACGGTTTAAATCACGATAAATATTAGAAAACTTATTTTTCACCACGACCCGACGTTAAGGATATTTTGCAACGACCGTTTATATTACTGTATAGTTATGATAAAAATATTCGTAAATGTTAGTTTATGTCAATTTTTACTGTCCAATTTATTTCAATCTGACGGGTTTATAAAATCTGGTGCTAATTTCGATTATTATATTTAAAATAGACCATATTTTTGTTTTTAATGTTAGTTACGATTATTTTGAATATCAAACAAACAATTTAAAATTCGCTACTTCCGACTATAAGACCCTTATCCTAATTGCAACAAATACTTACAATGTAAATCCAATTTGATACTTGTTTCAAGCGTAGCATATTCAAGTTTTGAGTGCGAAGCTCTACACTTGAGGGTGTGTCCATCATCCTCCATGCGAGGTGTCCAACGTAAAAACGATATTGTTTCATTGCGATCTTCTGAATCCTATAAAAATGTTGTTTAGCTAAATAACATATGTTATATTTATCTGTGGTTATGCTCGCAGTAATGGTAACGAATTTTACAAATTAAGTAAATCAAATAATTAAAGTGTTTTAAAACTTTAATATTATATTTATCACATGTTATTGCACATGAGGGCATTTTATCACGGGCGGGACTTGAACCAATTACATTGCGCGAGAGATGCATGTATTAGTAGGCTGAAAAAAAAAATCGACGCTGACGTGTAGTGTCCGGTAGGTCAATTGGTTAGAGCAACAGCACACGACGTTATGGATGCCGGTTGTAATTTTTTCTTCAATCTATTTCTATTTTAAATTTTAAAATTGTTTTATTAAAAGAACACTACAAAAATACCAGACATCAATAAAAAATGGTTAGTTTTGTCTTAAAAAAAATCTTTTGTGAAATTAATAATCAATGTGGAACCAAAAATTAACCAGTACCGCAAAACACAGTGTTTCAGGTGTAGTCAAAATTAATTCTGATTCAATATACTTAAGCATTTATAATATAAATAGACAATATTCTGTGGTGATATACGATATGTTTGTTTCATCAAATTATAAGCATAATAATTTGCATATAGTGTTGTATTGATAACTAGATTAAGATTAACGCTCCACTTAGCTTAAATGAGCTAATTAATATGGAACAATTAAAGATCAATCAGCTTAGCGATTCAATATGGTCGTTGAGAAAGTTTTTTTTATAAAGTTAGGTTAAAATAACATTGCGCAAGAGTGCAGTTTACAAGACGTACGTGTGAATTCCACCTGTGCTTTCATCTGTTTATAAGCTTTCATATAAAACGATAAGCTGAAACTGCTAGGTGATTTTTCCGTTTCCTTATAAATTAAGTAAAACAATGTAAATTTCTATCTATAATTACTCGATGACCCAACAAATGTTGTTTTGTACATTGTACTTCTATAAAATTTCTAGTGTGTATGATCTTATATTTAAGTGACAAAGGCAAATAATAAGACAACTATTAAAAATAGGGGTTTGAGATAGAAGTGTGAAAGTTTAGGATACGTAGGTATATAGGATATAGATTTTAATTCTACACTATAAAAAAAATTAGTTTACGACACAGGCAGGTCTTGAATCGGCATTCGGTGCTGTTACTTACCAATTGAGCTTCAATTTACCAATTTAGCCACCATATCTATCTAATATGTTTTTGTCCAAAATTAAATAAAATGTCACAAACTTAATTACTCAATGGTATGAAAAATAGAGAGAACGGTTATTATTCTCAGGCCTACATAAAAATCGGTGGAGCCGTTTCGGAGGCATACGTATAGTAACTAACACAATGACACAAGAATTATATATATATTAGATAAAGACTTAGAAACATCTTTCTGATTTACCTTCTGCTCGTCAACAACAGTCATTTGCTTATTATCTAGCCACCATGTAATGATAGCTGACGGTCTGGCTCCAACTGCTCTGCAGGCTAGTTCAGCTTCATTTCCAACTGAAAGTGGCTGTTCTCTTGACAGTATCTCTACTAGGAGGGGTCGCACTGAAAGAAAATACACGTTATTAAAACAAAAACGATGCAGGCAAATTTTAGTAGTGGCATATTGTGATTGTTATGAATCTATTAACTTATTTGCGATAAAAAGTATTTTAGTATTAGGAATTAAATTCGTTTTTTTTGCTTTTATTTTTAAGTAAAGTTTTAAATTACTTATAATTTGTTAGTTGTTTTTAGGAAATATATAGTTAACGTTCTGTTTGCTATATGTACATTTTATTTGACGTATATATATTTTATATTCAAAAAACAAAATTGAACATACTATCTCTCAGTACTTTATTATCCTGAATTAGTAGTAACAACTCTTCTCTAGATTACGTAAGTGTTTAAAACTGCAGCGATGGCTGACAATCCCAACGCTCTACGTGACCTTTCTCTTCTTTCACTTCCTTCTGTTAAATTAACACTAGTTGACTGTCAGTAATTACTGTCAATTGACTATTTGGTGACTTTGTTATATGAACTATGAGTTAAGTAAAATAAATAAGAAATAATTACTGTCAAAAAATGCTATAACTAATAAATTATAAGCTACGACCAACTTGAAAATAATAACGTAAAGCCAACATTAATAATTCAGTAAACTATTAACGAAATTACAAAAGTGTGTTAAAAGCTAATGGACTCAAAGTTATAACAACCATCACAAACTACGATATTAAAATATTAAAACAATGTCACGACTGGAGCATTAAACGAAAACAAAAAGGCTTTAATGCGATCCATTAACATTAGTAGAGTGGAACGAAAAGCCCGCGAAAACCATAGAACCTGTTTCAGGGGTCACATAATAATAATGAAAAATAACATCGCGGATTTTCGCAGCGGAACAATGCGCCGGCAAATACAAACTAATGATTCGGTAGGAGAAAAGATACAAAAGGAATCAGTTACCTGTAGTCATATCGGAGATTATTTGAGAGTCGGTCGCGATGTGTTTGATCTAGGTTAATCGGCTGGGATTTGTGGATTCCGTTTCGTAATAACAGGGAATGAGGTACGCGAATGAGAGTGGAAGAATGGCAATTTCGTGAAATTACATAGCCGAGCGGGGAACGTGTTTTTTTTTAAGTTTCAAGTAGATCGCCGCAACTTTTTTTCTGATAGTGGAAGACAGACAAACATGAAATACCTCAGCCATATAACATCTTAACAAGAAGCGTTGTTCTAACATGTTCAAAAAAATAATAATGGATTGGAAAAATTTGGACCGGACCTGATTCGAATCCACGACCCGTTGATTATTAGCCATACACTGCTACGATTGCCCGTCAAATGTAGTCAATGTTGTAATTACGTAAAATTATAGTGAACCGGATATTTTTATGAAAAGTTTTCATTTTTCCGTTTCTGAAAACGCCATTAAAGAGATGAGGTTTATATAAGAATTTGACAAACATTTTCCCTCCAATTACAGCCCTCGACAAAGAAAGGACCCTATTACTTATACTTGTTTTAATGAAATATTTATGATTTACCCGTGTTTGAAGTACGAATAACTTAATTAACTTGATGTCTATCTTAATTTGTACACTTTGGGTTAATTGGATGGAAACTAGATTAGTATCTCGCTTTGGTGTGATGAACTTATGTATGAACTAAGATGTAACATTTGATGAATACTTCCTCAGATGTGCAGTTTCAGGTCTTGAGTCTAATAATTCGTGTTATTTGAATTTTAATGAGGGTTGCTATCTAAATCTTTGCCTCTATTTTCTATTTTCACTCAATATGGATTCCATATCTATGTATACTTCTATACTAATATATAAAGCTTAAGGGATGTTCGTTTAAACGCGCTAACCTCCGGAACTACTTGTTCAAATTGAAAAATTATTTTGTGTCAGTTAAAGCATTTATAGCGCAATATATAAAATTACCACTTACACATTTTAAAACGTTTCAAACCGTTAAGTGTTTTATATAAATATGTACTATTTTATTAAACTGCAGGCGACACTAAGTAATCAAAAAAAAATCGGTCACGTTAGTCTAATGGTAGAAATGAATCTTTAATAAATAATCAACGTGTCGTGGAGTCGGTCCCTACCATGTCCAACATATCACTAATTATTTTAAGTTTTCTGAAACATGTAACACTTCATCTAGTAATGTGGATATTAAATATGCGGTAGGAATATCGAAATTTTGTCCGGGCCATGAACCATCGGCCACTGATGAAAAGTCGTGAAGGTAAATCGCGTTTCAGACACCGTCTGTGGATTTTCTAATATCCAAAGCTAAAAAAGGTCGCTTGCGCTTCTTGTTCGGATGTTATATGCCTGGGGTGTCTTACCTTCTTTCTCGTGAACTGTATGATTGTCTTTCGCTCGTAAAAAGAGAACAATCGTTGTTCGCAAATCTAAAGCTATAATTCCCCCATTGACGCTAAATGAAACATTAGTGATTGTAAGCAATGCTTATGTCTAATTTTGAGAACAATAATTCACGAGACCCTGTGTTATTACGAGGGCTAAGGTGAACGGTCTGAACCTTTGTCGTGAACTCACAATTATGTACTGTATGAAATTGTTCACTGCGTATTATGCTACGCTACGCTCAAATTAGTAAAGAGTAGCTTGTGGGTTAGCTATATGTATATAATTTAATAGAGATTCTGAACACCCTCATATATAATTAATATTATTAAAGGATATTATTATTATCATTCTTTTTAGATTAAATAGTTTCTACTGTGCTGTTGTCTACCCATTGAGCTGGTTGCTCTCGTTCATACTCATCAAGGTTTGTTTAGTTTAAATGTGTCTTTTATTTATATTAAACACAGCTGACATTTGGTTACTTGGGGTTTCAACTATTTATCGATTCCTGAATTATATAAAAAAATTGATTAACATAAATGATTAGTGAAAGTAATAATATCTTCTAATAATAATTATTTGAATGCATTGTTTTAGGTTAGTAGTATTGTGTGTTTAAGAGAATGCTAATGAATTGTGAATAAAATATTAAATTAATAAGTAGTAAAATGTTTTTCAAATTTAGTTGAGTTTTTAAGGACATTGATATAATTTTCGTTTGACAATATAGATAAACGTTCTTGGTGTAGTGAATAATTAACTTGACTACAGATGGAAAAGATCGGAATATCCAGTTGGGTATAATGTTTGGTGGGTAATAAGATTTCTATAAATAATATTTTATTACAGCTCGAAATTAAAAATTAAAAGGTGTATTGTCTGACTTTTACACGATAAGTACTAATTTAAATAAAACACTTTCAATGGCTTAAAACGTGACATACTTGTAATGTACTTATTTACCAATAAATTTCGCGTTTTATTTAAATTAGGTGTCATAACCTCAGAGTCTTAGAGAGTACGTTTAGCTATCAGCTTCGGTAAACACATACTATTTTAAAAGCCCACCCCTTCGTATTAAAGCAGTAAGGTGGGTCAAAACATATAAACAATTTCGTTATGACATTCTCTCTCATTCCTTACAATGGAACATTAATAATTGGAAACAAAGGTACGAATAATTACGACGAGAAGTCTTACTTACAATGCAATTGAATTTGAACATTGGCTTTGAGTGGAGGAACTAGCGCTGTGTTGTCCGCTGTACACGTGTACACTGCTTCAAAGTATTCCCTTTTCAATTTTGGTATCTTCAGATCTAGAGTACTGAGTTGGGATCCGTCCTCTATTGGATCCAGTTTGGAAACCATTTTGTCGTCACGCCACCAGCGAACTCGTGGCGTTGGTTTTCCTATAAACAAACAAATCGCTAAATTAAACAAGTGAAATAGTACAAAGAATCTGTAACGGGCTAATAGGCAGCGAGTCGTGGGTTTAATCACCAGCAGGTCCTAAATGGTTTTAATGATATTAAGATTTTTCTCAAACAAGTTGGTTTTAGTCTAAAAAAATTTGGTTAGTAAATGGATGGTAGGAATATCGAAATTCGACGACCACGCTGAAAAAACTTCTGTATGAGGATTTACAAATACTAACGCTAATATAAGTCAATAGCGCATCTTAGCTGGGGTATTTTACCTTCCATGAAGCAAACCCTCCCCTCTTATGTTATGAAAGAACATAAATAAAATAAATTTTTCATCGGGCCGTAGCCAGAAATGTTTTAATTAAACTAATGATTTGTTTTTCTATTTTTAGTAATGATACATAAATTTAACACGCAACTTAGTGTTTATTTTTTAGATATCCGTTTTATATTTTATGTTTAAGATACTAAATATACCTTGTTTAATGTTTTTATAATCTCAAAATATCCTTATATTAAAAAAATCGAAACTTAAACCTTTAAATGCTTAAAACATATATTTGATGTATTCAGTGCAACACACATCGAGATTTACATAAAGTATTACGTGGAAGCCACGAATAACCTCACACCATCTTATACTTTTAGTTATTACAAGATTTTCCACTTAGAAAATAGTAGGTATATGAACGATAAGCTCAAGTGAGGTATGAGTCCTGTCAAAAGAGCACTGAATTACAAATTGCACCTAGAAGTTGCGTGTTAGCTTGGAGTTTTAGCTTTAGTTTTGAGAAGAACTAAAAAAAAAGAAAAAGTATATATAATTTCCAATAATTTTACTTTAATAAAATATTTTGTAACAAACAAAACAGCGTATAAAATCACATAGCTATACAAAGAACTCCGTGGTCGAACCATAATTACGCCCTAGTGAACTATATTGTTATGTTAATGACGCAGTTATTAACATAGAAAGTACTAAATTCACGTTTCGCGTCCATTGTTCTTTCATTTGTGGGTTAAGGTCTTTCTAGAAGATATAATAACTACAAGTCAAAGTCGAAGTCGTTTTCTTGAATTATTTTTATTATTAAATATATTCTACGCTGACAGCACTGAATAAATTGCGGCCCCCCCCAACCCTTCCCCCCCCCCCCCCCCCCCCCCCCCCGGGGGGGGGGCCCCCCCCCTTTCCCCCCCCCCCCCCCCCCCCCCCCCCCCCCCCCCCCCCCCCCCCCCCCCCTTTTTCCCCCCCCCCTTTTCAAAATTTTTTTTTTTTTTTTTTTTTTTTTTTTTTTTCCCCCCCAAAAAAAAAAAATTTTTTTTTTTTTTTTTTTTTTTTAAAATTAAAAAAAAAAAAAAAAAAAAAAAAAAAATTTTTTTTTTTTTTTTTTTTTTTTTCCCCCCCCCAAAAAAAAAAAATTTTTAAAAAACCCCCCTATAAATATAACCCAACTCGATATATTGTTTATATTTATATATATTTTTTAATATGATTAAAAAGTATTTTTTGTTCTACGCGTTTAAAGTCCACTACGCAAGCTATGATGTGTAACTTTGTAGCTGTGGTTCGTAGCTCGAGCTACGCGTAGCTCCTAAGCTACGCGGAGATTTGCTACGCTTGCCGTACCTTCCATGTTTTCATTACGTCTTACTGTTTTTAAATTGTTTATAAATTTTATTTATCATTTATAATTAAATCACTATTTTGGCAATCATATTTTTAGAATTATTACATGAGGCTATGTGTTACAAAATTAGGATTAGTAAAAGAACACATTAAAAGAAAAGTTGAAAGAAATGCAACATTGTCACAATTAAGTAATTGCTACTAGTTTTACCTCCACTTACAACACAGGTAAGTTTGAGACTTGTGTCTTCTATGTAGGGGCCGGCAATGCCAGTTATTTCCTTGTCGGTCTCGTCAAATATCTTCGGCTTTTCTGGTAACTCTGAAAAAAGACACATAATTGAGTTTGTATATTATAATTTCTAACTACTATTATGATATAATAAGACAAAATAATAGTGACAAATACACTACAGCTATATATTAGTAGACATTGAGATTTGAAATGTTCAGATTAAGCTGAAAAAATATCATTGTGTTTTTTCAGCGAAACTGTCAAAACTTTTAAACGCCATCCCGATTGCCCGCCTAAATGCACGAACACGTATCGCTCCTAAAATGTCCGTTAAGGTAAATACACACTAGACACCTGTATTTGTGAAAAATGTGTTATGTTCTATTAAAGCAAGATAAAAGATTTTTTATTAATATGTAATAAATAAATAAGCTTTACGTTTCAGCTAAAATAGTTAAGTTTAAATACGGAATTTGTAAATTTTCTATTGTTATAACATTAATTATTCACTCTATTATTATAACTGTGACATTAATTAAGTAACTGCAAAGTATTTGAACACAGTATATAAATAATATATATATAATTATATTATATTATATACTTTAGGTATCTTACATAAATATTATTGGAAAAGCAAAATATATTGATTTATCTAATTATAATTTAACCTGTGACCACGAGTGCTGAATGTGTCCAAACTATTTATTTGAACTACATCCCGTTAACTAATTTGATGCTCGTTTTAACCCGTTTATTGATTTATTTTTTTACATTAGTGAGTATAGTTCCTTAAGCCGGTATTTTAAAACAAAATTCGCTCTTTTTTAGACAAATCCGTACAAATGCAGATCTAACGATAAAACCATTCATTCACACATGTCAAATATTTCTAAATTTGTTTTGAAAAATCGCCTTTTAGTTTACAGTTTCGTGTGATAAAAAATGATATTTGAGGAGAGTTTTGTAAAGCCATTTATATGTGAATGGCTTTCGATTATTATCTATAGATACGGACATTATCAGCGCTGTATTGAAGGATGAAATTTCCACGATAAGTAATCGACAATGTTATTTTTCTTTAAAATTTTTTAATATAATAACTGAGTGATTACGAACGCCCAGTCAGCTGTATCCACGTAAGTGTTATCATCAAGGTAAGTGCTTCAATATGGAGACAGTTGGTGGAGTAATAAAAGTGCGATCGGCGATATATCGCATTTTAATCGATAATACCACTTACTTTTAAAAAGTTACCGTCTTTCTAATAATTATCTATGCATTATTTATTTTAAACTTATTACTAATTTTCTTCTTGATTTAGTAGTTAATCGCTTTAACATTCCCAGTTCGGTATTTTGAATTTTTCCAAGAAAATTGCTAGGACATGGCGTATACTACAAAGTCTTATGACTATTTTATAAGTTTAATGTCCTGTCTGTAGTTTACGCGAGTAGTACACATTTAAATAAAACACTTTAACGGTTTAAAACGCGATAAATATTAGTTTTCACTTTTTTATTTATTTTACCCATGAGAAGATTAAAGATGGAGAGTGTCTCTGTCGTCCAAGTAAAAAACTGCTACGCTGGCGCCATCTGTTCCGTCAATGTTGGTATTTGGGGAAGTTGGTATCTGCAAAGTTTCGGCCAGTATCAAACCGTTAAAGTATTTTATTTAAAAGTTAACGTCCGCCAACACATCCTAGAAAAGTTTGGCGCTTTGCTATAAAAACATGTCCTACTGTGCGCAGCAGGCTTTAATATAGGCCTGCGATATGGATGAATTTTGATATTATTATAATTAGTTTATTATTGAAATAAAATATTAGAATTTATGTTCGCATTAAATAAAAAATGAATGTTTATTTGAACTTGTATTAATGCTCATATCATTTGTTGCGTTTTAATAATAAGCACTCTTTCATACTCAGCTGCTAAATGAAAACGTGAGTTTTATTCAGCGTTTCATAAATTACAGGCATATCGTGATTGGTTCCATCCACGTGTGAATATGTAAATTTGGATTTATTTTAAGGTCTTTCCTTTGCCGTAAATATATGTATTCATTAAAATGCAACGCGGATGAGATCGCTATTCCTGTAATCATTATAATATTATGTTTTCGCGTATATTCGGATTACCTCGGTTCTGTTTTAATTTTCAAAATTGAAATGTTTTATAGTCGCTTAAATTAATATGTGATATAGTTTCTAGAACCAGATATGGAACATTAAATAATATACATACTGACTAAAGCTACTTATGACATAACTTAGAAAATTATTAAATATCAATTTTTTCTGTAATTTGTTCAGAATTCAAAAAAAAACACAGACGGAACTTAAACGTTGCTGTTGAACCACCACTTAATCTTACGAGTGTGATTTAATTTTTTAATCTTTGTATTATGCCTATTTGTATATATTTTTTATAGTAGCAAACGATTTTAGTACTCAATAAAATCTATTTTAAATTTAACATGAATGGTATAAATTGCTTACATTTTTTTAGATGCGTTTAAACAAGTAGATGGCATTTTTGATAAAATACCGTACGATAAAACAGAATAAATTAATTATTACAATAAATAATTACAACACGAGATAGTTAATTTTGCAACAGCGTTTAACTATCAATTACGATAATAATTACGATGGTGCAGTGTTGCCAACGTACAAGTCACCTGAACCAGATGTCCACTGAAAATTTATGTCCCGACATAGGAACGAAGCCAAATCGAGCCGGTTTATAGAACGACCATCTTGCCAATACTGCGCTGAAATAATGTTTAGGACCCATCCGATGTTTATGGGTGTCATGTTCAATGTATTCACGGCGTGATGCGTATTTTTTTATTAGAAGTCACTATTTTGACAAGATCGTTTTTAACGATTTCAACGGGGTGGAACATCGTGGTTTTATAAATCGATTTTATTTATAGGCAGTTTGATCAGACGTTTGTTCAAAACGTCTTTTTAATAAAGACTTTTATTTAGGATCTGTATGTAGCTCTAACTTTGACTTTTGTGTCTGTCTGCCTACCACTAGCCTCAGGAACCGCGACATTAATAGCGTGAACATTTTCAAAAATTGTGTAGATTTGTTGTCGCTTTGTTAACAAAAACCAATAGAAACAAATTACAAATAAGGTTTCCATTTAACAATTATTTATAACCGCTTCATGTATGATCTGTGTATTATATTATACTTATGAGCAATTAATTTTATAATAAGTAATTAAATAAAACACTTTGAATATGGGCTATAGTAAATTAAATTGTATAAAGGTATTATATTGTGTATTTTATACCGTTAAAAGTGACTTTATTAAAATGTAATTAAAACTGACAATATTTAGTTATAGATTTTTTGCATAACAATATTTAGTTTTTATAAGCAACGTACATTAGAACCTCCATCTCGTCTGTGCCATATATAAAACATTCTGTGCCCTTTTAAATAAAACTCTTTAACGGTTTAAAACGCGATATATTAGTTAAACTTATTTGAAAATGATTTTTAACTTCGGCCCGACGTTTCGGATGCTTTGCAGCAGCCGTGGTCACGGGGAGACGGGGGGAAAAATAATTTTCAAATAAGTTTAACTAATATATCGCGTTTTAAACCGTTAAAGTGTTTCATTTAAATGTGTACTACTCGCGTAAACTATAGATATACAGTTCTGTGTCCTACCAACCAATGATTATTATATTTCCCGGAATTCTAACTCGGTCTTCAAAGGCTTCATAAGTAAAGTTTACTTTGATAGAGTCCACAGTTCGCGGAAGACACTATTATGTAAATAATTTACACTGCGTATTTGACATAAAGCAGGACAGATAAACATGACGTCCACCCGATGGAAGGTGACATACCCCAGCCCTATAACATCTAAACAAGATGCGCTGTCGATCTATTCTGGCTTTAGATTCGGAAATCCACAGACTGAAACCGAACCGCGTTAAGTTAAATTAAGTTTCGCGGATTTTTCGTTCGTGGCCCGGATGGAATTTCGATATTCATACCACCCATTTAATGTCCAGAATTCCAGACGAAGTTAAATATAACTCAGAAAAAAATATTGATTAGAAACCACAATACCAAAATGCAGACGGACGGACAATAGTGTCAGATTTCCACTGTGGTCATAATTTTTATACTGGTGTACTTAATTACATCAAATTTAATGATTAAACACAAACTGAGCGAATCTCTTTGCCATCATGGACCGCTAAATAAGCGCAATGACCTTTGTAATGTCCAACGTTTGCATTTATAATTAAAACAATGAGAGCAATTACCTCGTTTAAATGCTATATATTATGTTATATAATTGCTTTAGCCATTTCAGGGAAAAATATTATAATAATTAAACCCAAAAATGATCAGTGTAATACGATATATCATTGGTTGTATTTCAAAAATTTCGAATATTTATCTCGATTATAGTCGAGGTAGCTAAATTGGTTAGAGTAACAGCACGGAACGTTGTGGATGCCGGTTTAAGTCCTGCTGATTTTTAATTAAATATTCTCCCTCTTAATATGCAACCTTGATTGCTCATTCTAGAACAATACAAAAAGGCTTTCATTTATTAAATAAATAAAGCCGACCTTCAACGGGCTCGTTGGTGTTATGGAGGCAATGAATGTGGGAAATGCGTTCGATCTAACATTATTGTAATCAATTAATAATTTTTCTCAAACTTATATCAAATGGCTGGTAGAAATATATATTCACGAACCACCACCACAGATGAAAAATTTGATTTCAATCACGTTTTGGTTTCTGTCTGTGGCTTTTCGAATATCCAGAGCCAAAATAGGTCGACAGCGTATCATGCTGAGATGTTATATAGGTATTTTACCTACCATCGAGTGAACGACAAGAGATAGACAGATAGCGAAGTCGTTATGTAGGCGATAGGGTTGTCTGTTGTGACTCATTAAGAGCGGAACCCTAAAAGTGATACCTCGAAACAAAATTTTCTGAGAAGGAAAATATAACCTAGCAACATACTGTTTAGCTGTTTACAAGAATTGTAGATATTAAAGAATAATGAAATAATAAATAACTGCCTTTTAA